ACACACACACACACACACACACACACACACACACACGAAGCTGGTCCTCTGGTCTCATAAGTGGGGCTTGCAGCCAGCTTCATCCGCTGCCAGTCTGTCGTCCTCCCTTGGCCAACTCCATCCTTGCCATTTTAACACCTCTGTACTTCCTCTAAGGAATCTGGGTGGCATAGCAGTTAAGCACTTGGCTGCGAACCAAAAGGTCAGTGGTTCAAATCCAGCAGCCACTCTATGGGAGAAAGAAAGTAACCCTTAAGGGTTACAGCCTCAGAGACCCTAAAAGACCCTAAAAGTATTCTTCACTGGGTTACTGCCAGTTGGGATGGACTTGGTGGCACCAGGTTTTGTTCATGGAATGACAGACTCTGTGGCACGGACTGGATCATGTTGTCTCCCAAATATGCTTCAACTTGGCTAGGCCATGATTCTCAGCATAATATTACTATTCTGTGTGTGTTAAGTCCCGGCTTCTGTGAAGCTGATGGGGCAGGATGAGAGGCAGTGCTATATGGTCTATCATCCCCATGATGAAGTGGCCTGAGGTGGGATCAATCAGTTCAATGGGTCAGACGTAACATACTTAATTAGGCCACAGATCGGATGGAAGAGGGGTTTTCTGGGGAGTGGCCTGTGACACTCTTCATCTGACAAGAGAGCAAAGGAGAGAGGAAGAGCAGAGGGAACAGCCAGGAGTGGAGAGCGGCTTTTGGAACTGAGGGTCTGTCTGGGAAGCTCCTCGATACAGGGGAAGCCCAAAACAGATGGGGATCTCCGAGGAACATGAGGTCTACAGACACTAAAGAACACAAGGACCTTCTTCCAGCGCCGAGAGAGAGAGAAACAGGGATCCCCCTAGAGCTGGCACCCTGAATTTGAACTTCTAGCCTCGTAAATAGCAAGAAAATAAAATTCTGTTCATTAAAGCCACCCACTTGTGCTAAGAAGTTAAGGGCTTGACTGGTAACTGCTGTTTGGTACTGTTTTGCTAGAATAGCTGAACAGCTGATTTCACAGCTGCCATCAGCTTGAGCACCCACAGCAACAAGCCCTGTGCTGCCTGTTGTATTTGCTCACCTCCACCCCTCATGTACCCGCAAAACTCAGCATGAAAGGCTGCTTCCTACAGGGAGCCTTCCCTGACTTCCTTGTCTCGACAGTTTCCCTGGCTCTTTGCTCTCTTGGCCCCTGGCCTCCTCCAAGGATAGACTGTAGCTGCAGCTGATTATGTACGATTATGTTCACTCTCATCTCCTCCTCCCAGACTATAAGCTCAATGGATGGTCCTGTTTGTCACTGTGATCGTCGCAGTGTTGGTACCATGCACGCGCTCAATCAGTACGTGGTGTGTGGATTAATATATAAAGGACTCTCACTTGTCTCAGTGATCACCCATGGGCCACCTACCACCCCCCAACCCCCAACTACCTAGTACTCTTCAGCGTCGAGCTGTGTGATGCTGGGCCTGTGGTGCAGTCCTGCTCGCTCCCGCTCCTGGCCCCTTACCTTTGTTCCTGGCTATTAAGATGAGCTTATTCCGTATGGATTCATCTGGAGTGTCGAAGGAGCAGAAGGTCCCTCGTCCTCTCACTCTGCTGATGTACTGGGGGTACCGGGACTAGAGGGTGGGGAGACAAAGCTGAGGTCAGTATCTTCTGCCTGCAGCCCATCTGGACTTCATGGGAGGAATTCTTCCAGCAGCGCCGTCTGTCTCTCCACTCATCCCCACCTCTCCTCACCCACGCTTAGGAGAGAAACATCTGTATGTGGGGTGAGTGTTGGTCAGAGTGTAGACAGTTCCATAGTGCTGAGCCGGTCACTGAAGCAGCCCTGAGCCATGCACAGCTGTCAGAAAGTAGTTACGAGGCCAAATGAAGATGTGCTCTCAGGAAGCGGGAGCTCTGGGACCTCGGTAGGGTGCCTCTCTGGTGGTTTGAATCCACCTGAGAAAAAGATGGGCAATCTCCCCATGTGATTTACAGCCTCGGAAAACCCTCTGGCGAGCCTGAGTGAGTTCTGAGACAATGAGTTTGAGGTTTGTGGATATTTCCCCCCAAATGTAAAAAAAAAACAGGTTCGTGTGAAAACCCTCTGGCGAGCCTGAGTGAGTTCTGAGACAATGAGTTTGAGGTTTGTGGATATTTCCCCCCAAATGTAAAAAAAAAAACAGGTTCGTGTCGGAGAGTGTGAAACCAGGCTGCTCCTTGGAGACAAGGATTCTCAAGCTTTGTCTGACATACTTTGGACATGTTGCAAGGAGGAACCAGTCCTTGGAGAAGGACGTCATGCTTGGGAAGGTGGAGTGACAGCACAGGAGAGGAAGACCCTCAATGAGATGGATTGACTCAGTGACTAGGGTAATGGGGGTAGGTGTGTGAGAGACAAAAACGTTGGCTCAGGATAGAGCAGGGTTCAGAGCTGTTGTTTTTCATAGGGTCACTATGAGTCTCATGTGACTCGACAGCACATAACAACAACAACAATGTAACATCTCTCTCATTGTTATTGCATTTTTCTGATTCACAGAGGACTCAGTCTGGTTTTCAAGGCCCATCTCTCTCCCAAGGGGCTAGTGGTGAGTTTGATGCCAGGTTCATGCTCCCAAAGGCCCGGAGAAGTGTAGCCTTTGGGTTAGCTGTACAGCTCCACACTGACTACACCACCAGAGCTTCAGACGTGGGAGACTTAGCACAAGAGGAAGGAGCCCTGTTGATGAAACAGTTCAACAGCTTGCCTGTTAACCCGGAGGCTAGAGGTTTGAAGTCACCCAGCAGCTACATGGGAGATAGACCTGGAAATGTTACAGCTTGGGAAACCCTATGAGGCATGTCTACTGTGTAGTATGGGGGTGTCATGAGTCCAAATTGAGTCGGTGGCACTGAACAACAAGGTTATAAGAGAAAGAATATTATATATTTCATGAATTCCTTTTACCTTAATTATACATTGAGGCAACAATAATGTTAGATGCAGGGATTAAAGAAAGCACATTATTAAAACTAGTTTCACTTCCTCTTCTGATTTTTAAGATGGTCAGTAGGATGGGTAATCTCCTCTCATACAATTAACTGCCTCTGAAAACCTGCTGGAGGGTCAGCGGTGGGTTGGTTCCAACTTGATAGTACACAACAACAACAACAGCACTAGGAAGTTTAAGGCTGTCCATGTGGTGTGAGAGGAGCTCTGGTGGCAGGTTGAGTTACATGTTACACCGACATGACTGAAAGGTCAGTGGTTTGAATCCACCAGCCGCTCCAAAAGAGGAGCCCGGTGGGGGGTCATAGCAGGAGGCAGAATCAACTCTTTGGTGGTGGGTCTGGTCTTGGTGAGGTGGTTCGCGTCCTGTTCTGTGTGCCAGTGAGTTGGAACTGACCCATAGCTGACCGTCCAGTGGGTTTTCAGTGGCAGTAAATCACACGGGAGGAAACTGCTCATCATTCTCCCGCAGAGCGGCCGGTAGATTCAAACCATGTGCCTTTGGGGTTGCAGTACAGCTTCTTGCCACTAGGCCATCAGAGCTCCCTGTTTCTATAAGCAGGGATGGACCGATGGGAAGGCCTTCCTGGCGTAGTGGTCGAGAGGTCAGAAAGCTGTTCAGAATGGCAGGAGCAGCGTGTGTGATGCTGTGTCAAAGGGCTCAGACGTGGCTGTAAAGGCTTAGGGGCAGGGAGGGGCACCCCAAGACAGAGGGGGTGGTGCACATACCTGGAGGTCCAGTAGCCCCGAGAGCAGGGTCTTTCCCGCGTGGGCCGCGTTATTCAGCAGGTCCTCTCGCTTGATGACGTTAATGACCTCGGCCAGCAGCAGGTTCTTGGCGGGGTCGCCCAGCCAAGTGTTGAAGATTCGGTAAGGCTAGGAGGAGGAATGGGGTGTTGGGAAGGGCTCATGGACACAGGCACACCCTAGAGGCACCCACCTCTCCTATCTTAAGGAGAAAGAGGACTGAACTGATGACAGCTGGGGGGTGACACACTCTGTCCCACTGGATTCTCCCAGCAACATCCACCCTATAGGGGAGGGCCTACTTTATGGAGACCACGTGCTTGGAAAGAAATCCCACTGGTGGAAAAGTAGTCTTTCCAGTCACTTGCAATGCATCAGAGAGCTGAGGATGACAGAGAACTGATGGCTTTGAGTTATGGTGTTGGAGAAGATAGCGACTGTCCCATAGGCTGCCAATAGAGCAAACAGGTATGTCCTGGTGCAGCCAGGGTGCTCCTTGGAAGCAAGGATGGCGAAGCTTTGCCTCTCTTATGCTGGGCACGTGGCTAGTAGAGGCTATTCCTTGGAAAGGTGGAGGGTCAGGGAAAGAAAGGAAGGCCCACAATGAGATGGTATGACAGTGACTGAGTTCAAGTGTATCAGAGAAGATGAGGATGGCACAGGATAGGACAGGGTTCGGATCTGTCAGTCACAGGACTGCTATGAGTTGTACTCAACACCCTGACACCTATCAACATTTCCAAAAAAGAAAACAACCGTGGAAAGCTGGTAACTGGTCACCTTAACTACTATAAGTCTCCTTTTTCCAAAGAAGAGTCCGAGGGTCTGAGAGATTCCATGACTTGTTCAGGCACGTGTGGCTCACAGGTGGTAGATTAAGGATTGCTGGCAGTGTGATCTTCAAAGGTACCCACCTCCCCTCCCGCCCGCTCCTCCAGTTCACGTGGTGGTAGTTCATGTGGTGGTGTTGGGTACCGTCAAGTATGAACCAATCCTATGTGGTCCTCCAGCCGTTTTCACAGGCAGGAGACTGTCTATCTTTACTCCACAAAGAGCTGGGCAACCCTCCCCCTCCTCCCTCCCCCGACGGGGGTCGCTCCTGCACTCACAGCGTTGGGCCGGAACTCCTCCTTGTGGAAGAAGCCCCCAATCATCATCTTTTTGCTGAAGGTCATCACGTCCGCGGGGTCGTCCAAGCCCCAGTGCTCGTGGGCCCAGAACTTGCCAGTGCAGCCCCCTCCTGTCTGGACCTCATCCACCAAGAAGGCACAGCCGTGCTGGGGGTGGGGAGAGATGAGGGGGACATAAAACACCCAGGGAGGCTGGGACCCCACACCCATCACATACACACTGCTTTCCAAATGGCAGTCCCACCTCACGCTCTGGGGTTATCGCAAAACGCAACCCCACACCCCTGAGCAGGGTGGTCCCCACCAGCGGAATGTTTCCTAAAACTGCTGAACTGGAGAGGAACTTGGCTGCAGGCCTCGGTCTGGACTTCCTCTCTCAGGGACGCTCACGTGAAGGCAACATTTCCCAGAAGTGAGGCCAGACCTGATGTCCATCAGGCCCGTAAACCCCGGCCTAGCGTTACTTATTGTTAGTGCTTAAACCAACTCATGCCACAGAGCTTTGAGGAGTGAAAAGACAGGTTGGATGGGTCAGTTTAATCCCATGAAGAGTTGCCTGACACTCACACAATGTGTCCCTTTGGTAGCCACTGAGTATGGAGCATGTGGGGCTAAAAGATGAACTGGAGGCAGAAGGGAGGGAGCTGAGGCCCTTCTTGAAACATCCTGTTTGAGAAAGGGCCAGCCAAGATGGCAGGTTGGGTGATGATTTTGCGTGATGAATTCAGGAAGATTTCCCCCCCGACTCCCACCTTCTTTATCAGAAGACTGAAAAATTAATGCCCTCCATACAGATGGAGGTTGTCAGGGAAACCTGAAACAGACGTGTGCTAGGCCCGGGCTCTGGACATCTGTCCAGGACCCCCTGGGCTTGTCAAGCCAGAACAGACCCACTGACCTTCCTGGCGATGTCTCTCAGCTTCCAGAAGAAGTCATCAGAGGCGTGGTTGTCCCCGCCCTCCGACTGGATGGGCTCCACAATGATCCCAGCCACCGTCTTCTTCTTCTTGCGGTATTTCACAATCAGATCCTCCACCTGCAGTTCAAGGGAGGGGTCAGAGGCACCCAGAGAGAGCCGGTGTGCGCCTGGAAGTCCAGGGGTCCCTGTAAAGTCTATTGCAAATTCGTGTGCATTTATTTCCTAGGGGAATGTGGCACTCGTTCAGGGCCATGGTGTAGATGGGTCCCTGTCCTGCCCAGCACACAGAGGGATACTGCCATCGACTCGCCTGAAGGTAAAATACGAATCATTGAGAAATACTGACTGTGGGATGAAAGAGCAGTATTTTGGACAGACTGAGTGCTATCCAATATTGCAGTTAATGTTACTCGTTCCTTTTTAAAGGCTCTAATTACATATGTGCTGATCATATTTCTACTGGACAGCTCAGTACTAACTCCCCCCCTTTTTTAAATTTTGTCTTATTAATTTTAATGAACATTTACAGAGATTTTGGATTTTCATTCATTCATTGTTGCACTTTTTTCTTTAGCCCCCTCCCCCCAGTTCGCGCCTCTCTTTGAAAAGCAAAAAATAAACTTCTTTGTTGGTATACAATCCCCCCGACCCCAGGCCTAACTTTTATTTTCTGCTGAACACCAGCTGCTACGCTCTTGCTTAGGCTCTAGAAGCTGTTACTGAGGACGAAGCTGGTGGTGAATAAATATCAACTAGAAAATGTGAAGTGTCTCAAAGGGCAACGAGAAGCCTTCTATTTCAGCACAAACACAAACCTTAAAAGCAATAGCCCCATTTTTCTCCCAGCAGTAAAATGTCTTACAGGGAGCAGATTAAAGCAGGGCTGTCCATGTTCTGGTTCCAATGCAGGGTCTCCCCCTGCCCTCACTGCTGACCCTATCAACCCACAGACACCCCTGGACTCTGGAGAAGACGGAAGCCCAGTGGATTGGAAGACCTTATGGAAATGCTTTTCCACATGTTCCTCCACACTCTCTCAGTAAAAAGCAAACCCAAGCCCACTGCCGTCTCAAGTTGACTCCAACTCGTATCTACCCTCCACTGCATCTCTGAGGCTCTGGGTCATAATGAGAAAAGACTGCTCATCTTTGTCTCATGGAGAAGCTGGTGGATTCAGACATTTCACCTTTTGATTAAAGGCAAAACACTTAATGCCATGCAGCCACAGTTCCTTGTTCTTGCAGCAAACTATTATTTTACTTTGCCATCATTGTACCTTGCCTCTGAAGAAATTTTAAGGCTACAGAAATAGGTACCAGAAAGTGGGGTTCCAGCTTCTTGGTGGAAGACCCACTCATCTCCCTGTGGGGCCCTTTCCCAGCTGGAAACATTGTGGATATGAGGCCTTTCAGTTCCTACATGCCTTTAGGGAACACAACAGCAGATAAGCTGTCCCTTGAGCCCTCTTCTCTTAGGGTGGCCATGCTTGCCCGGGTTAAGATGTGAGTAAGACCAAGGAGGGCCTGCGTTACCTCCTCGAGGCAGCGGGCCTCCTCCTGTTGGTTCTCCTTCACAAAGTCTTCAAGAGGGTACTTCAGCCGTGGGAACGGTGCGATGGGCCAGTCGAAGGAAGGGATGTCGATCTTATGAATGGCTTTGGAGTGAGTGGTCGCCAAGCAACCTGCATCCACAAAACACAAAAGCCTGGTGTGAGGAGTGGGGCAAACAATCCTTTGAAAAGCAGATGCCCAGCTCAGCCATAACCTTTAAATGCCGGGAGGCCTGCTACCCACAGGAGCCCTACCTATGTGTTAAAACCTCCCACATCTGAGGTGAGACCTGGGAACTCTTAACTTGTGTGGTCTGTGCTGTCTGATTTAGGTTAAGCACAAGCTTTGAGAGAAGAGAGATAATGGTTCAAATCAAATCCTGTCTCTGCAGGCCCTGAATGGCTCTGGGACGTTCCCTCCCTTCTTGAGTCTCAGTTTACACATCTGTGAAGTGGGGATAGTAATTCCCACTTGGCAGAGAGCTGGCGTGTGGAATCTAAGAGACAAGATGTGTAAATGGTCAGTGTAAGAGAAAAGGCAGCTATTGCCATTGCCACTGTCATTACTCTACAACCCCCTTGGACCCTGCTGTTGTCTCCTTACCCAGGGTTCTCCCGTGGAACGCGCCCATGAAGGAGAGGATGCTGTAGTCAGGGCATCCGGGGGCCTAGAAACAAGAAATAAAGGTCATGAGGCACAGATGTAAGAACCGGGCATGGTACTGATGCCCCTGTAAATGGAGGAGCAGCGAAGGCGGCTGGAAACCATTCCAACGGAGAATCAAGGTCTGCTGGAGAATGTTCTAGAATGGCCCCAAGGTCAGCCAGGAACCTGGAGAGCTCTGTCTCAAAGTTACACACTGAAACCTTGAGGTCGATACCTTGCCCACTGACACACTGCCCACACTTTAAACAAATCTGTTGTCAAATTGAAAAATCAAGACATTTTGCATGAATATATGAACTTCCTCTCCTGCACCGTCTCTCCATCCTTCCCAGCATGGCGTCCTTCTCCAAGGACCTGGCTACGTGATCAAAGTATGTGACACGGAGCTTCAGAATCCTAGCCTCCAGGAGAGGAAGACACCAGATGAGATGGATTGATACAGTAACTGGGGCAATGGAGGTTGGTGTGTTGGGATTAGTGAGACTGGCTCAGGACAGGGAAAGGTTCAGAGCTGCTGTACGTAAGGTCACTATGAGTCACAGGTGACTCGATGGCACCTAACAACAACAACAGTATGAAATTTTGCCACAGTGGGGTCCTGCTTCCCTCTCCTCTCCACCTCCAGCCGCATCTATATAGGTGATCTCGTCCAAGGATGGTGCAAGTTGTTGTCCAGGGCCTGGTACCTGCCTTCCCAAGAAGCTTTGAGTTTTCAGTTCAGGTTCTCTAGGTTCTTCAGAGCCTGCCCTGCCCTCAAGCTGCAGACAGCTTCCTCAGGCTCAGGCCACCTCACAGGCTGTCTGAAGCAGGACAGAATCAGGTGCCCCCAGGAAATGCTCCAGCCTGCTGCTGGAGGTTGGCTGGGGCTGTGAGGGGGAGGGGGCAGCAGCTGCACCCACCTTCCTCTAACTACACAGTAGCTGCCTCTCATAGTTCAAGGGGGATACAGTGCCTCCTACTCTCACTCACCCCCGAGCAAATGCCACAGTCCTCCCCACTCCTGGCACTGCTTTCTGACCCATCACCACAACCACCGGAAGCAGCAGCATTTAAGACACCGACGCAGTGTTGTAACAGGCAGATCTGCTGCAGTGGACTTTAAAGTGCACAACAGCAAGGCTGTGCGCCTGACCCAAGCCACGATGTTTTCAATTGTCTCATAGGCCTGTGAACACTGGACAATGAAAGAGGGACACTGAAGAAGAAATGATGCCTTTGAATTGTGGTGTTGACAAAGAGTACTGAATAGTACTGCCCGTGGACTGCCAAAAGAACAAACAAATCTGTCCTGGAACGACAGCCAGAGAGCTCCTTACACAGGAATGGTGAGACTTCATAAAAAGTACTTTCAGCTTGGTGAAATAGATGATCGGTAAAAAAGAAGCAGGGCTTCAGCAAGATGGATTGACACCGTGGTCCCAACAAAGCATTCAAATGCAGCGACTGCAGGGAGCATGGGGCAGGACGGAGCAGGGCTTGGTTCTTCTGTGCACAGGGCTGCTGCTGAAGCGGACTCAGGGCACCTAGCAACAACAACACCCAGCGAGGGAATCCGGGGGCTAAAGAGGGGGCCAGTCCCCAGGGAAGGGGTTTAAAACTCCAAGACCTTCTCCCTCAAATCCCAGAACACTCTTGACATTTTTTGGGCCTTTTGAGTCCTGATTCTAAATGTAATATACACATACACACACTCCATTATACAGAGTCAGATGCAGTAACTAAAAATGAGTTAAATATAGAAATGTTTAATAGCACATCTATGAAAATCAAGTGAAGGGGGACAAAATCAAAGATGTAGGATGTGATTCATTTTTACAAAAGAGTGGCAAGAAAAAAGAAGCTGACATTTCTGTTAGCTTATAGGAATAGAAGGAACACTCGTGGCACAGTGGTTGAATGCTTGGCTGCTAACACAAAGGTCAGTGGTTCAAATCCACCAGCCATCCTGAGGAAGAAAGACCTGGCAATCGGCTCCCTATAAGGATTACAGTCTAGGAAACGGTATGGAGCAGTTCTGCGACTGGAAGGCAATAGATCCTATGAAGAGGGAGAAGGTGTGGCTACACAGGATAGTTAAGAGGCAGGAGGAAGAAGAAACAAGAAATAGAAAGACAACCTAACTGCCACCCAAGCAGATACATGCACACCCATGTTCACTGTGGCTTTGTTCACAATAGCAAGGGGTTGGAAAAACAACCTAAATGCCCATCAACAAACAATGGATAGAGAAGCTGTGGTATATTCACACAGTGGAATACTACGCTGCATTGAAAAACAAGGAACTCACACAGTATTATTCAAAATGGGTGACCCTGGAGGACAATATGTTGAGTGAAACATCTCAGTCACAAAAGGACAAATACTGTATGGTGCCACCGTTGTAAAATGGGACTGACATCTGGGTTGAGGGAAGACTGAGAAAGATGGGATAAATAATGTATACTGCATTGAAACAGATGAGGGGGAGAACTGTTTAAAAGGGATATATGATTGGGTATTATTGTCATGAGAGGAGTCCAGAATGAAGCCTGCATAATGGAGTGGACTTGGGGGGAGGGACCGTATAACAATGAAAGAATTTTTCTTTTCATTTTCAAAGAGAAGAGCGAACTGGGGGGTAGACGGGATAGTGGGCAGGGAGAAAAGTGCAACAATGAATGAATGGAAATTCAAAGTCTCTAAAATTTCATGAAAATGAATAATAATAAGAAGAAGAAGAAGAAAGACAACCTAAAGGGGAAAAAAAATCCTCAATTACACCACCCAGTGGAAAGCAAATGTAAACATGCTATGGTGTTCTTTCAGGGATTCTCCTGATGTTTATGTTCAACGCTGAGAATACAAGGTTTCACTGCCCTGTAGCAGGGATGACGACTGGCCCGGAGAACCCTAGCCCACTGCCGTCCCTGCAGGATACTCAGAGCAGCTCGTTCCATTCAGGGTCTGATGAGCTTTTTAATTGCAGGTACTTCTGCCTAAACTTTATTGGGACCCTATTTGGGAGCTTTGGTGGTCTGTCTAGTGGGTAAGAAGTTCCACTGCCAACCCAAAGGCAGACAGTTCAAATCTACCACCAACTTCAAGGGGGATAAAAACTACAAAACACGGGCAATCAGTCTTTTCTGTGTTTATAGCCCCTGCAAACCAGCTGGGGGGTCAGCTATGAGCTAGTTCCAACTTCATGGTAATGAGCTGGGGTTTTTAAAAAATATACTGTGTGAAATGGGGAAAGGTGTGGGCTGTTCTGGCTAAAGGACTGCCTGGAGTTTTACATTCCTGTGGTTCCCCAGCACAGGCCCCCAAGAGGTGCCCCCATGAATTACCGGATGGGAGGAAGATGGGTAGGGTGCCATCTCAGTCCCCACAGTTAGGTCTTCCCAACTCCCGGATACTCATGTAGCTTCTCTTTCTCATCAGTTCACCGTACAGCCAGTGTGGGGCAAAATCCCTTTGACATATGGTTGTGCTAACATTCTGGATCATTCCTATTATTATATGGCTTCCTTAACCAACCAGTTGAGGCCAAGCTGGTTATGAACTTAGGGTGACCCCGTGTGTGTGTGTCAGTGTAGAACTGTGCCCCTCAGGATTTTCAAAGGCTGCTCTTTTTGGAAGGAGTTTGCCAGACCTTTCTTCTGTGGCACCTCTGAATGAGCTTGAACAGCCAACCTCGTGGTTTGCCATCAAGCTGTTCACCTGTCTGCTCCACTCTGGGACTCCACGATCCCTTTGGATCGGTCCCGTTCAGGCTCTGCCCTGGGACACTAGGGAAGTCTGGACAGGAACAGGGTGCTCGGTCTCACCAGCAAAGGGATGGGCCAAGAACGGAGAGGGGTCGCTTGGTCAGCAAGCTCTGGCATTTGAGAAGGTCAAGGTTAGTCAGCAGGTGTCACCGGAAGGGGGCTGGGCCTGCTCTCCCGGCTGCACTCACCTGGTTGATCATGCAGGTCTCCAGCTCCTCCTTGGAGAACCCCGTGTTCCCCCTTTCCTTGTTCTGAGAAAACAGAACAGAACACAGTCTCAGAGATCCTGCAGGGGAGAAGGGGATTTGAACCACTGGAGATGTGTACCTCCTATGGACTACGTGACCAGAATTCCCTGTTGCGCTGAAGCACAGGAAGGCATTTGCAATGAAATCGGTAGACAGACATGGACCTTGGAGACAGCGCAGGCTTGGTCCCAGACCGCAGTGATCGAGTGAAGATTGCAAAGAAAACAAGTTGAACGAATTTTGGGTTTTCCCAGTGCATAGAAATGTTATGTTTATATGTATGTAGTGATATACTGGAGTCTATCAGAGGAGCTCCAGCAGGATCGTGTATTATGTATTGGGATCTAACTGACAGGTTGGTGGTTCAAATCCACCAGTTGCTGGATGGGAGAAAGATGGGTAATTTCCTTCTTTAAAGATTTACCGCCTCATAAACTCGATAGAGGGTTGTTCTGAGCTGATAGTGAGTGTGGGAATGGGTTTGACAAACTATTAAGTATGTGCACCATGATGGAAAGGTTTGAAACATTGGAAGAATTACCAAAATGTGACAGAGACACAAAGCTGTTGGAAATATAGCATCAGCAGACAGTTGTTGTTAAGTGCCATCAAGTCAGAGTGACTCACAGCCGACTCTCTAGAGGGTTTTCAGAGGTGTAAATTTCACGGGAGGAGGCTGCCCATCTTTCTTCCACAGAGCAGCAGGTGGATTTGAACTGCATACCTTTGGGTTGGCAGTGCAACTCCGTACCAATTTGTGAAAAGAAGTAGTGTCTATGAAGCTCAATAAAGCAAAGTTGCGTGGAATGAGGCGTGTCTGTGCTCTAGGCGCTCTGCGGGTCTATTAGCCTCAGCAGAGCTCCGTGGAGACGGGATGTTATGCGAAGGACAGTATGATCCTCAATGAGACAGACTGAAGCAGGGACTGTGACAGTGGTCTTGAAGCATCGTGGACAGGTGAGGATGGCACAGGACAGGTTAGCGTTCGCACAGGACAGGTTAGTGTTCAGCTCTGTTGTACCTGACAGCACCCAACAACAACGATGGCAGTGAAATAGTGTGTTCGCTTCGGGTCTTATGCCAACCTGTGGCCCTTTGCAACAGTACCCACAGGGGTGTTCAAGACCAATTGGCCAGACAGGGGCCCTTGCTGGATTGTGACCAGGTTCTCTGGACAGGAGACGATGGAATGTGATTGGGGGCTAGGGGAACACGTGTGTGTGTGTGTGTGTGTGTGTGTAAGCGTGTGTTTGTGCACGCCCAAAGCCTTACCCGGTACCACATGAAGATGGTCTTGAAGGCGTTTTCATTGGAGCAGGAGCCACAGGCCATGGTGATGATCTGGGACATCCCCTTGGGAGCCACCTGCAGGAGGGAAGCAGAGCTGTGAGCCCGACTCTCATCTGGAGTCTTGAACCAGGGGAGGGAAGGAAGGAACCAGGGCTGGAGTTGAGGGGGGAGCCACCACACTGGGAGGGGACTCAGGCTCCCTGGAGGTAGAGAAGCCAAGCTCAGGACAGCCTGGAGACCAGGGGGACAGAGCAGAGAAGGGGCATAGGTGACCCAGGGCATGGCTAACACAACTGCCACTCCACACAGACTCTGAAGGGCAGCTGAGACCCCACGTGACTTTAATTAGTGTGAACAATGAAAGTAGAGAAGCGGGGAGGACTGTGTAGCGAACCCCAAGCTCCTGGCTGGGGGTGAATCCCATTCTCCTAGTTCCCTTCTGTGTGCATGCAAAGATCCACTCGTGAAACATAATGTGAATAAAGAATCGTGTGAAACACAATGTATATACACTTTATAAGCAAACCATTAAAAATAAAAAGAATGTAAAATAGAATATATACTAATGATTGTATGAAACACAATGTAAATGAAAGACCATCTAAAACACAATGTTTCTGAATGAAACATAATGTAAAGGAATTATTAGATGAAAACCAATTTTAAAAAAAGAAAATGAAAACTACCACTCATGAAAGAAGCGGCACAAAGAACCAAGGGTAATAATGAAAGGCACCCGACCCTTGGCCGTTGTGGGCCTCCCCCTGCTTCCCGCCACCCACAGCTCTAGGACACAATGCCTTGTGTCTGGGGAGACAGGAGGGCCGGCAGGGGGAGATGGGTCTGTGCTGGTGGCAGCCGTGAACCCCCTGCAGGGCTTACCGAGAGCAAGGACTCCCTCAGTTTGTCCACGAAGTTCTCTGGGGGCAGGATGCCCAGGGCGGGCCTGTTGACGAACACACTCTGCAAAAAAGCAGGAGATGGGGAGTGAGCCTTCCAGTGTCCAGGCCACGGCCGCCCGGCGCTGCCTGCGTGCAGACGGATGCCTTGGCACTGTGGTGTTGGAAGAGACTGCTGTATATCAGTACTGCCAACAGACCAAACAAGTAAGTCCTGAAGGAGGTGCCGCCAAGGTGCTCTCGGAGGCAAGGATGGCAAAACTTTGTCGTACTGTGGTCATATATTCAGAAGGAACCAATGTGTGGAGAGAGATCATGCCAGGAAAGGCAGAGAGGGTCGACGGAAGAGAACAAGATCCTCGAGGAGATGGACTGACACAGTGATACAGGTGTGAGAGATGGTGTGGGTGGTGCAAGATTGAACAGGTTCAGATCTGTCGTTCCTGGGCCTCTTTGAGCCGTAGTGGACTTGACGGCCTCTAAACAACAGCAACGCCACTGAGTGGGCACCGCAGGCCTGCGGTGTTCTGGCTCTTGAACTTTGAGGGTAAATCCACTAGGCGGTTTCTGTTCTTTACAAAGCCTAAGTGCTAGTTTCCTGGTTGTGGTATTACTGTGAAATTATGAAAGGATAATACTACTGGGGGAAACCCGATGAAGGGGACAGGGGTCTCTCTGCACTATGTGCTTTGCAACTTCCTGGTAACTTAACAATGATTAAAAAAAAAGGGGGGGAATCAACTATCAGAAAGGCAAAAAGAAACCAAAAACACCCCCCAAAATGGACACTACCAAGTGTTGGCGAGGACACAGGCTGATGGGGACTTCCACTCCTGCAGCAGGTGGGAAGGGAGAATGGTGTGGCCATTGGCAGTCGGAAAAGCATAGTTATAACAGTAAACTGCATTGGGAAAATCTGCTGTCACAGACCTCTCCAGAGTGCTGAAGAGCAACGATGTCAGTCTAAATACAAAGGTGTGCCTAATCCAGGCCATGGTCTTCTCAATTACTTGTTATGCTTCAGAGAGTTGGACAATGACTAAGGGTGACAGAAGAATAGATGCCTTCAAGTTTTGGTGCTGGAGAATAGTCTTGAACATACATGCACTGTCAAGAAGACATGTCTGTCTTGGAGAGGGTGAAACCAAGTCTCTCCTTGAAAGCTAGGATTTTGAAGCTCCACCTTACTTGCTCTGGGCACGTGACCAGGAGAGATGGGTCCTTGGAGAAGGACATCATGCTCAGAAGGGTGGATGAACAGCGCAGGGGAGGAAGACCCTGGATGAAATGGATTGATACCGTAACTGGGGCAATGAGGGTTGGCATGTTGGAGTTAGTGAGACTGGCTCAGGACAGGGCAGGGTTCAGAGCTGCTGTCCATAGGGTCGCATACATTGCAAGTGACTCAATGACATATAAAAACAATAGCATACTATGACAGGTTTGGAAGCAGGAGTGACATCCACTTCCTAAACACCATGCCTCCGAAAACTCTATGAACTTTGATAAATGTTGATAGTTGTAGAGGGGCTTCAGGCCTTTTGTTCATAGGGTCACTATGAGTCGTGCTTGACTTGAAGGCAATCAACAATAACAATAGTAAATGCATGTAACACAATGGCCCAGCCAGTCCATTCCTAGGTATTTACACAAGAGAAATGAAAGCATTCATGTTCACACAAATGCATGTTCGTGAAACAGAGCTCTGGTGGCCTAGTTTATAGCTGAGTTCACCAGCAGCTCCATACGAGCAAGATGGCCAGTCTCCTCCCAGGAGCTTTTTACAGCCTTGGAAATCTGTTAGGGGTCAGTGGTGAGTGGGTTCTGACTTGATGGCAATGAGCTTAAGGACTTTTTATTTTTCGGTTTTGAAATGATTTTAAAATAAAAGGGTTTACTGCAGGAAAGAGTGTGTTTGGGAGAGTGGGATGAGTTGAGGGATTATACCAAGACTGAGATCTCGGGGAACTTTGTGGACACAATTCTGATGTAATCGGTATAATAACCTGAATCATGTCACCTCAATGTAGAAGAAAAGCCAGGGACGAGAGGGCCCCAGAGCTCATTTGTAGAACTTGATTCAGGCGGTGAGAAATGACAGCCATTGTTTTCCTGACATGTGACCACCTAGCAGGGCTAAAAGAGTCCAAACAAAAAACCCCAACTTGTTGCCATCAAGTCCATTCTAACCCACAGTGTTACAGAGTAAACGAGGTTCCACAGGGGTTTTGTGGACGTAATCTTTAGGGAAGCTGCTTGCCAGGCCTTTCTTCCTCTGCATGCTGGGTGAGTTGGAACCACCAACCCTGAGTTAACTGTTAGGTGCAGTTTGCATCACCCTGGGACCTCTGGGATAGGGAGAAGGAGGTTAATAACTCCCCGCCCGCCCCCGCCCCCCACAGTATTGTGGGGATCAAAAGACCAAACAGGAAGGGACAGGACCATGTTGCCAGTCCAGATCCTCTGATTTCAGACAGGTAAATGCCAATGCTTAGGAAACGTTACCGCTGGATATGTGTGTTAATACTGGATATGTGTGTGCTTAGCACAAGCCAGAGAACTTGGCTGGCCTGTGGGGGTGTTTAAGAGAGGCCTTTCTTTCTGACTTTGAGCTGTCAATCAGGCGCCTAGGAAACTTATCACATCAGAAGAAAGAGAATGGGGTTGGAGCAAATGGCTACCACCCACCAGTGGGAAGCTGCTCACGGTGTGGGCTAGTGGGCTGGCTGGCAGCTCCATTGCCTCTCCGGGCCCAGGAGTGATTCTGTGGGCGGTTCTCTTGCTCGACAAAGCATGACAGTGAGAACAGGAGATATCTGGGACGCTGGATGGCAGAATCAAATGAGGACAGAGTCCTTGCTATCTAGGTGACGTGTGAAAGTTCTGCGAGACGAGAGTGGGCTTTGTGCCCTGAGTGCCTGTGCAACCTTGGGCAGGTCACCTAACCTCTCTTGTGTCAGTGTCCTCGTATGCAAAGTGGGGGCCCTCACCAATGCCAGGAAGGACAGGAAACATCAGGAGGATGCAGAAGGCTTGAAGGGCAGGCCAGAAGAGGCTGGGGCTGGAGGGCACAGTATGGCCGAGCCTGTCCAGACCAGTCTCGTCTGTCCCCACGTGGGGATAGTGTCAGACTCTACCTGTCATGATCATGGTGCCCAGACCAGCTTCGTCCATCCCCATGTGGGGATGATGTCAGACTCCACCTGTCATGACCACGATGGCGCCAGGCATCTGCCATGCCCATAATTACCGTCTTGTGTGTGGGGAGGTAATGAGATGGTTCTAGAGACTTGAGAAAGGATAACTGAAGCCCAGGATGCTAGAGCGAGGTGCAATGGCTGCAGTTACTGGATCCACATAACTATGCTGGCATTGTAGTGAAGTGGCCGGATTCTGTCAGACTTCGGTGACCTGGTATAAATGAGATAAGCTTCCCCCCTCCTAAGAATTTAGAAGAACCAAGGAGTCTAGCGGACGCCCCAGCTGTGTCCTGCTGAAAACAGATTTCCACGCTGCAGCACAGCCCCCATCTGCATTACGCATCCTGTGAGCGCCTTTCCAGCAAGCCCTAAGTCCAGCTCTCTGCAGAGAAGCATCTGGAACTCCTGGGCGAACACTTGCCCTCGTGGATCCAAACTGTCATGACGATGAGGCCAGGAGCCTGGTCTTCTGCTCACCACTAAATCTAAGCACTGAGAACTGTGCTTGGCATATAGTAGGTGTTTGCTGAGTAAGTAATGAACAAACAGATGACAAGAAACAGCGCCTGAGGAGACAGACGGCAGGATTCAGGGGGCAGAGGGCCTTGACGGAGGAGTTTAGGGCTTGGGCTGAAGGCTGAGGGGTTGAGGGGCTCGGGAAGGCTTCTAGGCTTGACGCAGCCGATCACGTGAGACTGGGGTGGATTACTTAATAAACCAGGCAAGCATGGGCTTCCCTCTGCTTACCTACTTGTCTGGAGCGAACAATTCCACGTGGGTGTCAGTACCTATTGCTTACTAGGTAAAAGTCCTGGTGGCCCAGTGATTAAGAGCTTGGCTGCTATGGCAATGGAATGGCTGGCAGTTCAAACCCACCAGGAACTCTAGGGGAAAGGTGAGGCCGTGTGCTTGTGTAAGGTCACAGCCTTGGATTCGCTGTGGGAAGTTCTGCTCTGTTCTGTAGGGCTGCTGTGAGTCGGAATCGACTCGACGGTAGAGTTTTGAATGATGTTTGTTTTGTTTTGCTTATTGGGCATCCTCTCCTCGACTATAGATTCGAATGGAGGCTTTGCTTCTGCAGGTGGGTGTCGTGGGGCTGGGAGACAGAGATGCCAGCCGCACCCAGAAGCAGAATCTGACAATATGAAACAACTGTAAAATTGTTTGCTATGGCTTGGTAATCACAAGTAAGCCTGTGCTTACCCTGTGTGTTGGCTACAGCCAGCAGCTTGGAGAGGTGGGAACAGGAAGCGGTGGAGGAGGGTACTGGGGAAATTCAAGTGGGAGATGGAGGGCCAGCCTGGCGTCTAGCTGGGTAAGAAGAGGTCAGGAGTCAGGGAGCATGGCGTGTCCCCAGCTTCCTGGCACAGGCCAGTGGGGTGGGGCACTGCCATCCCAGCAATCAGAACTCTTGGGCCTTGAAATCACGTGTTGCTCTGGAAGATTCCGCCTCCAGAGACAGTTGACACTGTAAATGTGTGTAACATGTTTGTTGATGCATTTTTTTCAGCACCAACTGCTGAGGCAGCTGGGATCCTCTCAACGTTTAGAAACAGAGCGAGCGCTGAACATAAACAAACTCGAGTCGGGCTCAGAAGGCAACCGCCCCCCCCCCCCCCCCCGGCATCATCAGGAGGATGCTGGCTTTCTCTTCCAACATCCCAGACATCCCTAGAACTGTCAACTCAAGGAGGGCACACCCATTTATATGGGGGACGTGCCCCATTCTAGTCCTTTCTTAACTGTTGTTGTTGTTTGATGCCATCGAGTCGTAGACGACTCATAGCGACCCTATGAACGAACGGCCTGAGCACTGTTCGTACATAGAGTTTCCGGAGGCAAGCCATTTAGGAAGTAGATGCCGCTCCTGCTTCCAGGCTCGATTTAGTTGGGAAGCTCCAGCCAACATTGTTCACCATGGCACATGTCCACGACTGGCACATCAGTGTCACAGTCTTCAGCATCACAGCAACCACGAGTTACCTCTGTACAGCCACGCACAGACCAGTGCTATACCACCTGCATGTCTTAACTGTGTGGGCTGAAAAAGAGAGTCCTTCCAGGATAGGAGTCAGTTCCCAACCAGGACTGAGTGTTCCCCACTTGTCTGTCTTAGATTTCTTTTCTGGAATCCTGGTCATGTCTAGATGAATGTATCATAGTCTATCTGAGAAAACCCTCAAACGATACACTAAGTGTGGAGGAGACGTGGAGCCACTGGAATGCCCACACGCTACTGATGGCAGAGCGAACAGCAAGGGGCACAGCTCGTGCCCTGGGACCACAATTCCACTCCTAGTTTTGCACCAACAGCAGTGCGTGACCTCGTTTACCAGAGAACATGCACCAGAATGTACTCAGTAGCACCGTGTGACAACCTCAAACTGGAAGCCACTCAAATGCCAGTAACAGTAGTTGTTATTATGTGCCGTCGTGTGCGACCCTATGTACAACAGCCCTAAACCCTGCTCTATCCTGTGCCAATCTCACCATCTCTGACACACCTACCCCCATTACCCCGGTCACTGAGTCAATTCATCTTATCAAGAGTCTTCCCCTCCTGTGCTGTCCCTCCACCCTCCCAAGCATGATGTCCCTTTCCAAGGACTGTTTCCTCCTAGCAACATGTCCAAAGTATGTCAGATGTAGCTTCAGAATCAGTAGACTCAAATAAATAAACTGTGTGGTATCTTCACACACTGGAACACTTCAGGTGATGAGAAAATATGATCTACCACTGTACACAAGATCATGGACAGGTCACAGAAGTAAGTGACTGAGGTGAGTAAAGCAAGCCACACATGCTAGAGAGTATGGTGGCACTGACAAGGGAGTGAAGGAGAGCAGAAACCGACTGTGCTCTTCGGCCAGGGAGAAGGACTGGTGGGAGAACAGGCGCTGGCTGAGGGCCAGCAGGGGGTCTTTGGTTTCTCATTCTGGGTGGTGGTTAATTAGGTGCCGTCAAATCTAGTATGACTCACAGCAACCCTACGAACAACGGATCTGAACCCTGTCCTAACTGGCACCATCCTCATCGTCTCTGACACACTAGAGCCCACTGCTGCAGTCACCGTGTCAATCCACCCGGCGGAGGGTCTTCCTCTCTTTCACTGACCTTCTCCTTTCCAAGGATAATGTCCCTCTCCAAGGAACAGCCTCTCCTAGCAACATGTCCAATGTATGTGAGGTGGAGCTTTTGTTATTTTTGCCTCCGAGGAGCACTCCAGCTGCACCTTCTCCAAGGCTTATCTCTTTGTTCTTTTGTTGGTCCAGGGGATGGATATTCAGTACTCTTCTCTAGCACCACAGCTCAAAGGCATCAATTATTCTTTTTTTTGTATTATTTTTACGTGTACCGTCAAATCAGATCTGACTAGTACAGGAGGAGATTGCCCCCTCCTTCTCCAGCAGAGCATCTGGTGGATTTGAACCACGTACCTCTGGGAGTGCAGTGCAGCATCTTGCCACTAGGCCACCAGAGCTCCCTCAATTCTTCTTTTGACATCCTTATTCACTGTACTCTTATTTGTTATATTCTGAGTACTAGTTACAAATTCATGCATTTTTTTACGGGATAAGGAGAAACAAATCTTATTCTCTTCATGCACAGACACAGAGTTCTAGAGAACATAATGCAGCATGGCTCTGGGATTGTGGACATGGATGTCACATGGCAAAAGGGTCTTTGCAGGTGTGATTAAGTTTCCTAATGCAGAAGGGGACCCTGTGAATGGAAGGAAGGCAGACCTGACTGGCTGTGGCTGCCGGGTATGTAACGTTTGCTTGTTAAATAGCGACTGAATACTGATAAGAATGGATGGATGGAGGCTGGCCCGTGCCTTCTGAATTCACACACACACACATACACACACACACACACACACGTCTGCACTTACCGCGTTCTGAGGCTGCTGGAGAAGCTTCATGAGAGCGGGGTGGCTGTAACCTGGAGAGGAGGAGGGAGCATGTTAGGGGCCAGCATCGCACTGGGGTCCTGGGGTCCTCTGGCCTCCACCCCACCTCCTGCCCACGCCCTTCCTCCTCAATCCTGCAACTTTCTTTGCGCATCAAAGACCAAGGCAAACCCATGGGCACTGAGTGAATTCTGACTTCCAGTGACCCTGTGTGTTACAGGGCCGAACGCTGCTGTTGAGTTTTCTATGGGAGCACCCAGCCAGGTGGTTCTTCCGCGGAACCACTGGGTGGGTGTTAACTAAAGCCTCTAAGTCAGTTGTGGGGGTGCCACTGAATCGGAATGGACTCAGAACTGACCCTCCAGTGGGTTCTCGGAGGCTGTTTAGTATGTGGGAGGAGACGGCCTCTCTTTCTCCCACAGAACAGCTGGTGGATTTGAACCACCCGCTTTTGAGTTGGAAGCTCAACTCCTTACCCACTAGGCCACTAGAGCTCCATCTTCAGCACCCAGGGACCTTCTTCACACACACACCTTCTCACTGCTGTTCAGCTGGTTCCAGCTCCTCACTGACCTGCCTTTGGGTTTCTCAAGCTGTAAACTGCACAGGCGGAGACTTCCCCTCTATCCCTTGCAGAGCAGCTACTGGACTTGAACAGTCAGACACGTGTGGCTTTTGGATTAGGAGCACAACTCCCTAGAGATTACCCAGGAGGGCTCCCTAGGGTGTCTTGTTTTATCTTTTTTTATACAAAAGACCATTTCCTGAGACCAGCCCAGGTGCAACAGCTCAGAGCTCTAAGGCTGGGGCCCTGGCATCTTCCTGATTTGAACCTGTGAACCACAGGACAAGACAGAAGGAGGGCTGGTGTATGGTGATTAAACGCTTGGCGGCTAACCAAAAGAGGTCATTGGTTTGCCTGTCGGCCGTCTTGCAAGAGGAACCATGTGGCATTCGGCTTCTGTGAAGATCACGCACTGCTGTCGGGCCTGTTCTGACTCACAGTGACTGCCATTTCCGAAGCTGTAAATCTTAATGGCAGGGAGCTTTGGTGGCTTTGTGGTAAGGAGTTGTGCTGCCAACCCAAAGGCACGTGGTTCGACTCTACCAGCTGCTTGAGAGAGAAAGATTGGCACTCTTCTGTGTGATTTATAGCCTCTGAAAACCTGCTATGAGTTGGTCTGAACTCAAAGGGACTTACCAACAGCAAATCTAAGACTGCCCATCTTGCTCCCACAGAGCAGCTAGTGGATTTGAACTACTGACCCTTCAGTTAGCAGTGCAAAACATAATGCAGTACACCACCAGGGTTCTTTCCATAAAGATTGTTGTTGTTAAGTGCCATCGAGTTGTAGACAACTCATAGCAACCCTATAAATGAAAGACCTGAACACTCGTATAACTTTCGTCGTTTCTCCACGTTCATAGAGTTTCTGGAGGCAAGCTGTTTTGGAAGTGGATGCCACTCCTGCTTCCAAGCTTGTTTTAATTGGGGAGCTCCAGCAAACCCTGTCCACCATGGGTAACCATTATCACATTTGACACATCAGTGTCACAGTGTTCAGCATCACAGCAACCACGAGTTACCTCTGTACAGCAGATGGACAAACCAGGGCTATGTCACTTAGAAGAATGTTTGACATAAAGATTACAGCCTAGCAAATCTTCCCTTGATGCCAACCACACTCATTGCTGGCGAGTCTTTTCTGATTCATAGCGACCCCACAGGACAGAGCAGAATGCTCCTCTGAGGTACAACCCGTTCAGACGTTGACTGCTTCTTTCCCCCATGAGGCACTGCTGGGTTCCAACTGCCAACCTCTGAGTTAGCAGCTGAGCTCCACACTGCCAAAGTGCCTTCCCTCGAGACTGCAGCCTGGAAAAGTGGAGCAGTGCAGTTCTGTCCTTTGGGGTTACTATGATGGCACCCCAAACAACAGAATCCAATTCCATCGATTATCCTGACAGAGCTTGATGCCACAAGTACATTCAGGGGTTAAGACAAAGAGTCTCTTGGATCCAACAATTGTTTTCCTAGGAATTAGTCTTAAAAATGTGTGTGGATCTAAGTATAGATAGCATGTGACACTTGTGATAGGGTGAGATTTGAAAACCTAATGTTCATCAACAGGGGATCCCTCAAGTCAGTTAGGCTCCAGCCACACTATGAACCTTGGCAATAAATGCAGCGATAGAAAAGAATGGGAGAAGGTGATGTATGATTTGTTGAGCTGCTAACCAAAATGTCAGTGGTTCGAATCTACCAGCTGCTCCTCAGGAGAAAGTCTTTTTCTTCAAAGAGTGACAGCCCCAGAAACCTGATGAAGGTTTTGCCATGAACTGAAACTGACTTGACAGCAGCGGGAATGTGACTTCATGCAGGGAATCCTGGTGACGAGGTGGTTAAAGCACTCAACTGCAAACCAAAAGCTTGGAAGTTCAAACCCGTCAGCTGCTCTGCAGGAGGAGGAGGGGGCAGTTTGTTTGCACAAAGACGACAGCCTTGGAACCCTGAGGGGTGCTGTCCTACAGGGTCACTGTGTCTGAAAGGGCAGGGGGCTTGTTTATTTAGTCTTGCAGGTTATCTGGCTGCCTGGCTGCCAAGTACATGTCACACTGGTGCAGAAGGCAGCAGCTGGGAAGTCTCTTCACTCTTCTTTGAGAAAATACTCAATGCTTGACTCAGTGCTTTAAATTTCAGTTTCCCCAAATCATAGCTCTCATTCCTGATGACTTTATCTACTCTTCCATGTGTCGGGAAGCACTAGGAAGTAAAAGCAATTATCTCTGGGAGCCAGTGGGTCCCGGATCCTCACTCCCTCCCACCCACAGTGGCAGATGACACCCCTTCTGGTCCCTGCCTCATCTGGGTCTATGCGGACACTGCTTCCAAGCCTCAGGGCACTTGGTAGTGAGTACCTGGCTCTCAGGTGTATCAATGAGAATGCAGCTTGGGCCAAGCTCGTCCCCACCTCCTTCTCTAACTCTGCAGCACCCCAAACACCAAACCCAACCCAAGCTGCTGTCAGAGCTGATTCCTAGTCACAGTGATGCCTGTGTGCTCGAGAAGCACAGTGTTCCATAGAGTTTTCAATGGCTGAGTTTTGGGGGCAATGAACCGCCAAGCCTTTCTTCTGAGGCACCTCGGGGACTCTAAATTCTGACTTGTTGGTTAGCAGCCAGTGTGCACTCCCACCCCAAACTTGGCCCCAAACGTGGCCCGTTGAGGCTGTACTGAAGATACAGCATCCCCCAGGGGAAACAGTCCTCTTTTGGAATGACAGCAAAAGAGACGAGGAGTCTGGGGTCTTCATTTTCCTGGGGGTGGGGAATGGGCTGAGACTCTGACATGTTGTGAGGTGTCGAGTCGATTCCAACTCCTTATGATAGAGCAGAACTGCCCACAGGGCTTGGCCGGCCCCATGGGTCATCCCTGAGGGAGCAGACTGCTAGGCCTCCTCTCCCCTGGGATCGCTGGGTGGGTTCAAACCTCTGACCTTTGCATCAGCAACTGAGCACTGACCACCAAGGCTCCTTGGAGAGCTGACACAGGGAATGGATGTGCATGGGGGAGGGCATTACTGGTGTCCTCCCTCACACTACGGCCAGGGCTGGAAGGAGCTCATCATTATGGAACCAAGACTCTGGGGTTCTCCAACTGTTTTTTGACCAAAGGTCTTTCAGCTCTGACTCTTTATCAGGCTGCCTGAATGCTTATGACTCTTCTGCCTCAGTAGATAAGCCCTCACCACGGAAATCTCCTTCGGCCACACAGCGGCCGCTTGTCAGACAGCTTCTGAACCAGGATCAAAACAGCACCGGCCCTCTGATCGAGAAACCCTCCTGCTGGACTTTGACTCCATCAGGGCAGGGCAGGGCGTCTGGAAAGCTGGAGTCAGGGACATTTGCTCAGGAGGCAGACCATTACGAAATCAACTCCTCCCCACTGGTAAACTGGAGAGGGTATGCAAAGACCCTATGCTATTGGATGGCTGCAGGGACTTA